TTTTTAAAGATTGGTTGCACAGACTGATGGGTTTCATTTTGGCAGATTGGTGCATGCACATACTTTGATCATTTTCATCTCCCCAACACCCCCCCCCTTGCCTGTTTGATTTTATGTACTTAATTATTATAATTCTCAGTACTTGAAGTTGGGAGGAAGCCCTGTTGTTACAAAATATGGCTGTAATATGGGAGTGTGCCTGCTGTTTTTCTTCATGTGGAAGATATTGTTGTAACTTTTTCAACATGTTGTTAGGAAGCTGCATGTAAACATGTTATCATGAAATGCTAAATACTTAGAGTGAAGCATATTCCAGAGTAACTCATAACTCTGAACATTTATTTTTAATATCAACATCTTATATTCTTACTATGTAAAAAATAGTTTTATTTCACAAATAAAATTTAATGGTTTTTGATTTTCAATACCTGTAAATAGCATTTCAGTATATTTGAGTGCGTATACATAGATATCACATAGGTGCTTGGCAGTAATGTATTTATTGGTGTTACAAAATTCTTGGCTTTGTCCCAGTGTCTTAAAGGAATCTGTACCATTTACTTATTTAGCCAGTGAGCTAAGAACATACTTGATTGTAGAGCTCTGTGTTACATGCTAACAGTGAAGAAGCTAAAAGTGCTTTTTTGATCTTAATTTTATGTTTTAGTAGAAAAAGAGACTTATAAATGTCGTATAATATAATGCAATCTAAATTTTTAAAAATGCATATTTGTGATACATAATGAATCTATTCTTTGGAGGGTATTGCTGCATATCCATATTGCATCTTAATCCTTTTTCTAGAGTGCGATATGTGCTAGATATTTAAGTACCATGTCAACACTGTTTCTTATATATTCATTATTAGCTGGTGACCTTCCCATGTTCATGAGAGACTAGAAGCAAGCAGCAGGGCATTTCTGCCACGTCTCCCAGTATACCTGTGTTTATATCCCTGTGCTCTACTTTTCCTTTGCTAACTTTAGATGAATTACTCTGGTGTTCTTATTTAGAGCCAGCCGACTTATTGGTGAACTGAATCATCACTTTTCACCTGCTCAGTTGCCCCCATTCTTTCTATATTACTGTTTTCTTCTTAAGAGATTACTAAAATACAGAAACACACATAAAACAACAAAAATCCCTGCATCCTATTCTTCCGTAGCTATTTCTTCAGTTGACAATGAAACTCATCTCTAGTAAGTCTGAGATGAGTTTGTTTTCCTGTTCTCAGTGGTGAGACATCATCCTTTGCCTTCTACCACTGTTGAGTGGATGTCACCGCTGAACTTTCACATTGACAGATTAAACCTATCAACATGTATCTGGCGTCCCTGCAATGGGGGACAAAAAGTGGGTCAATCTGAAGCCTGGTTCCTTTCTTGGGAAGTGTGGGGGCTGTGTATTATATGAATGATGGTGTCTTTTAAGTGAACCATTCATCAGCAATTAAAATAATTCCTTCATATGTTGCTAAAAAAAAAAAAAAAAACCATGTAACTGGCATACTTGTTCACTTCTTTTTGAAACATTTCAGTTTACTTCTAGAACACTGACTTCCTTACCGTCTTTCCTAACTAGCTGTACTCTCCTACTCTCCTCTTGGCTTCCTCTTCATATACTCAAGCTCTAAATGCTAAAAATGATCATTGTTAAATTTATTTTACTATATTCTTAAGGTAATCTCATTGAAATAGTCTTAGATAACTCTTTTAAGTTGGCTTATTTATCCAGAAAGTACTTGAGGGTCTTCAGTCTGCTTATTACTGTTCTGCATGCAGAGAATACATTAGTGAATAAACTACAGTCCTTATCTTTGAGAATTTACATTGTATGAGGAAAAGGCAGATAGTAAACAAAATAAACAAATTGTCTAGAAAATAGAGTGGTACACACTGGAGAAAAAGAAACAGTAGGCCTAGAACTATGTCTTGCGAATTTACATTCTCACTCTGAACTTTGTCCTGGAATGTATTTGTCTAAAACCAACTTGACATCTCTACTATGTCTGTACCTGTTATCTGTAATAGGCACATCCAAACTGAGCTGATTTTCTTCCTGATCCAATTATTTATGGCCATGTAACAAATTTTTGTACAACTTGGTGGCTTGTAATATTAAGCACTTTCTTAGATCTTAAAGTTTTGTACGTCAGACAGTTTAAGGTTTTTTTTTTTCTTTTTTTGGTACTGGGAGTCAAACTTATGACCTTGAACTTGCCAGGCAGGCACTATGCTGCTAAACTGTATCCCTGGCCCAGGTCAGACAGTTTGATCAGGGTTCAACTGGATGATCTGCCTTTTTCATGATGCCAGGAACCTTGACTAAAGAGTTGCAAACATCTTGAGGTAACTGGAGTGGTAGTTTGAGGGCCTTTATTTGTGCTATTTCCTGGGCCTATAATACTCAGAATGGCTCCTTTACTTACACGTCTAGTGCCAGGGCTAAAGTGGCTAAAACAGCTAGGGACTTGTGGGAATCTGGGAATAACAATTTCAGGGTTTTGGACTTGCTTTTTGGCTGTTGTCTTCCCTCAGACAAACCCTTCTAATGTCAATTCCAGGAAATAATGGATGGAACATGCCAAGCTCATAGGATTTGGGCCCAGATATTGGTACAACTACATTTTTGGTACATTTTCTTGTCAGAGTTGTTTCAGAGTCCACCCACGTTCAAGAAGAAAGATCCTGATCTGACCTTTTGATTAGAAAAATGTGAAATAATTTGTGCCTGTTTCTAATTCATATAGTCTATCTCCTGTCCACAAATGTATATTCTTCTTACATGAAAAATATATTCAAATCCTCCTAAGAAAGCCTCAAGTTACTAGGGCTTGAGGTTCAGGGACTCATCCAAATCAGGTTCAGCTGGTGTTGAAGCTATTCAAGTGTTTCTCCATTCAATCTGAAGATCTGTGTTTCTACCGTATATGTCCATATGTATAAACAGTGACCACTAGTTCTAAACTTGAACAGATGTTACCAGGTTTTTTTTCATTAAGAGCCTCAGCCCTGCTTCTCAGAGTCTGTGTCTCCTGTCTGCCCTTGGTATAGCTGCAAATGAGCCTTTCTTTTTCATAAGCAGTAACTTGAAAATTGGGTTTCCAGAAAAGATAAGAGTGACCACTATATCCTTCAGTCTAAAACAGATAAATATTTTGAGACTCACACAGCAAAATACAGCAATTCCTAAGAGATCAGAAACAAAGAGATAAGCCGTAAGGGGGCTCTGTCTTAGAGTTTTGAGCGAATTTCCATGCTGTGGTACAAGGTACGGGTATCTAGGCACAGCCTATTGAACAGTCCATGTTGATGAAATGCAGCTTTGAGTGTGAAGAGACCAAGACCACAAGACACATTACCAAAGGAATTACTGCACGCAGAAAGAACTCCAAGACCTGAGGGTCACCTTTGAGGAGCTGTGTGCCGAGTCATGCGTGCATGTGAGAAAGCTGCCCCAAGCAGGTAAAGATTGCCATACCCAGAAGAATGTACAATTTTATGACTGATTGGGAACTGGGTGGAGTGCATAGAATGGCAGTGTCATTTGGAATAAGTTCCTCAGTAGTTTACAGTAATTATCCCAAGGCTGAGCAGTGGTCTGGTCTTAACAAATGTTATGTCAGAAGTAAAAGAATCAAACTTTTCCTAGTAACTTTAATTACATTTTGGAACAAAGTGTTAAAATATTTATAGAAATTAAAATATGTCTGGTAGCCAGAACTTGTTGAAATGTCTGTTAGCTAATAAAAAGCAGACATGCAAAGAAGCTCTGAAATGGTAACTACCTGAGTAAATATGTTTTTTTCTCATCTGAATTTATTGAAGTTTAATATAAAAGTAAAGTAAATCGCAAAAATAACACAGGTAGGAAATGGGAAATGGAAGTATACTATAATATTGTTATATATTATTTGAAATGGTTTAACTTGAATGTGGACTTTCATACATTAAAATGTAACTGAAGGAGATCATAAGGAAACAAAGATTTGTAGTTAATAAAAGGATAAAAATGGAGTAAAATATATTTACTCTGAGTAGTGGCAGAAAAAGGAAAGGGGAAAGTAGAGATGAAACAAATGGA